ATTGTTTATTAAAAGTTTTTATTACAATATAAAAAAAAAGAAAGAGAAAATTTTTATACTGTATAAAAAAACTAAAATTATATAAAAAAAAAAAATTATATATCAGATATACAGTACATCACACCACCAACTGCTACTGTGATATTTTTCCTTTAAATCATGTCCCTCAAAACATTTGGGAGTATTTTATTCTTCATAGATCCTGACACATCGATCAAAAGTGCATAATCAATTGTTAATTTACTAAGCTCTCTTTGACTTCGAATTTCGGCCCATGATGTGGAAACATTACCAACAGATAAACTCGTAGGAGAAAGAGATTTAAAGTGGTAGCTCTGTAGGTGATCATCAAGAACGCGTATTCGAGAGCATAAAAATCTTTGACAGGTATGTATATAAAAGGAAATAAAAATTTTAATACCTCTTCCAACCTTTTAGAGTTTACGTTGTCTCCAAGACCGAGAACAAATAAAAAGTTACTGGATTCATTAGTAAATAAACGGGATACTTCGTTCGCACACTTTTAAAACCAGGCTACTACGTGTGTCTAGTGTTTCGGGCGAAACTCAATTTTGCTTATCAAAATTAGGCGAAACTAGTTTCGGACTTATAGGGGCGAAGTTGCGCTCGAAACACTACTTGTGTCATCTCCGTCAGTAACTACGATCAAGATCCAAGGATGGGTACGGTCACCATTATTACGGAAAGCTTTTACAGAATCAACCATACTGTCATAAATGCGAGTGCCACCATTTATTAATCTGTCGAGAGAACGATGAAGTAACTCTTCATCTTTAGTGAAACCCTTCAAAAAAATGTGAATAGGAATTACGTCTTTAAAAAAATTAACCGAACACGGAAATGCTGTTCAATATATTATAATACAGTAAAGACCTTTACCTGCCTTATTACCATTGTGTTATTGAAAGTTGCAATAAACCCACGATCCAATCCATCACGGTGCAAATTTTTTATAAGCTCCTTGCACACCTTGATCGCACAGCTAATTTGAGTCATTTGCGTTAGCGTTAGTGTATATCCTCCTTTATATACTGTCATGCCTTGATCTGTTGTTGCATTCTGAATTAATTATAGTTTAATAGAGATGTTTAATGGAGAAACCTTAAAAATCGCCGATTTTAAAATTATTTTATACTTGCAATATTGAGTGTTTGGATTTTTTGAGAGGCTTAGTATTTGAGACAGTTAAATCTACAAACAAAAATTAATGTAAATAAAATGATAAATGATAAACAAATCAACGGTTTGACTTGATCCGGAGTTGTGAAAATAGGAAATAACAAACTTAATAAGTTTGATGATTTATTATCTTGATCCATTACGTTGCGTTTAGGACATCTATCATACAAGTCTTTCCATGTATATGATAGAAAGAATTTTTGATTATAAAAAAATATACGCAAATAAACATGAAACAGGTTAAAATACCTTGCTTTAGATAATGGCCTAACTGATACCACGGCATTTTAATATCTAAAGCCGTGTCTACATAAATAACATGCCACACTAAGCTACAGGAAATTTGCTCTGCCTCGCTTTCGAGTTATGTAATTTCCTGATATGAAATGATTTTACTTGACCTAAAATTATTAATATGTTGATATTTAAAAAACGGGTATTGAGGCAATAATTCATTTGTATAATACTGACCAAGATTTTAAAATTACTTGAAAATTAGGTTCAATGTTAATGGAAGAAAGTTTAAAGGAAGTTGTAATAACACAGCTTGGTGAGCTGCAGAAAAAGAAAGACTGAGATGAGTAGTCTCAGAAGCCTACTTGAAAACCTCTTAGCCTTAACTGAAGAGGAAGACTCAAGATCTAGCTTAGAAGGTAGCTACTGGGGCTCTAGAGTCCCAAATCACTTCTAAATAGTTGTACCAGTTGAATTATAGAGAGCCCAGATTTCTCAAGAAGGAAAACTTAGGAATCAAAAAAGGGCAAGAAAGCTAGAAAACCAATTCAACTCAAGTGAAAATGAGGACTTCAGAACTTTAAAGTTGGGTACGCACAACATTAACGGTCTTAAAGTAAGTAGTCACAAGCTCAACTTGCTATTAGAATGGGCAAAAGAAGAAAATATTGACATCCTAAGAATTTGCGAAATGAATATTTCAGAGCTACAAGGCAGATTTCTAATCCCAAAAGATAGAGAATATGCAGGGTTCTAGACAAATGCAAATGAAAATAAACTAAAAAGGTCAGGAGTAGAGATAGTAATCAAAAAGAATTAGAAAAAATATATTAGGCAAATCAATAGATTTAGTAACTACTATATTGATGTTTTACTTCTTTTCAAAAGATTTAAGTTAGTAATCATCAACACCTATATCTCACCAAGTAACAAAGAAGAGAAGAAAAAGATACAGCAGTATATAATATGAAAGATCAGAGAATGTGAGAAAAACAAAATATGAATAATCATTTTAGGAGAC